GAGCTGTTGTGCTTCCCTGCGGACGACTGATGTCTTACATGTATGCGAAGCTTATACAAATATCCTCTGGGTTGCTTCTTTTGCTGTTTCCGGCTCTTCGCAAAGCTCTCGCGACAGGTCGTTTTTCCTGGGCATATTTTGGCTGTCTAGAAGGCTTGCGTGTAGTCATAAATGTCTAGTGACGGGAGGCGAATAACTTCTGTTATTTCCTCTTAACTCCATTTTCAGCTGGTGTTGCCGGAGTACTTGCTTCATTTTTTCTTCACTTTCCTTTTCGCATTATCGTTTCAATTCGGCGGCGTCTGTTGGAATTTACCGCTGATTGCTTATCACGTTCACAGGTACTGTTAAGCTTCTGATGTTGCTGATTCTTAGGGCAACAGTAAGCGGATATTTAGAATTTAGCACCCACTGATGCAGACAGGAAAGATTTGAGATGAAATTTTCGTTTGCAGATATATGCACCGGCCAGTAATGTCGGGGCCAGGAATATACGATCCAACTACAATTTTTAACCAGGACGAGCTACAGAAGACACTGAGAGAAGGTTGGATAAAACTCGGCTTTTATCTCATATCTTTCTTCTATTATTTATATTCCATGATACACACATTGGTTACATCTTCGTCATAAATTTCTTACTCGTTAGTCCTTGTCCAAATGCTGTACGTTCATATTTCGCAGAAAGTGCAGCACCGGGGAGAGAGGAAAGAGAAGGAAAGAATAATTTTTATGCATTTTTGCGTATGTTTTTTGCTTAGATTAATAACGTGTATTTATGCATTTTTGTGACAGATTCTTGTGGGATTGCATGGGTCGATTTGATAGAACATTTCAGAATTATATTTGCCTTACCATTTTAGCTTTTTGACATATCTGTTGCACGAAAACAGCAAATTTTTAGCTTTCTTTTCTCTGCAGTTACAATGTCAGTTTGTATCAGAAGACTACTTCATAGATTAAGACACGAGAAGGTTCAGTCTCGCTCTTCTCACTCTTTAAACCCAGGAATTTCAAGTTCATCATAGCGTGTTGCATTTAAATTATAAAGTCACCCTCAACCTGGTTATGAGATTGCTGGTTATAAATCTTTTGGCCTTGAAAATACATTTACGCATGTTATTGCCGCCTTTCGTGGGTAACTGTGTGTTCGAAATCTCGGATTTATGGTTCGCTGTATTTTGAAATTGTAGATTTATCCACAATTTGGCGTAAGGTCGCGGATTAGGATATTGTGGACTATGAAGGCTCATTTCAAAGTAGCTAACTCGCAGTACCTGAAAAAACTTCGAAATTACAAATTCGTCGAAACGGGTAGAATCCAAAGTCAAGTCGGAAATCAGCTTCCATCCTCACAGAGAGTGATACAAGCTGATTTTTGGCTTGCCTTTCCACACAGTCGTTGTCCATATTTTAAAAATTACTGTTTCCCGCATCGTTCTGGAGTGAAATGTGTGGGCTTCGCCGTATGTTTTAGCGTAATACGAAAATTTATAAAATATATTTTTGTTAATCCGTGTGTCTATCCAAATAATTTGGTTCAGGACCAGAATGTGGGCAGTTACAATAACTCGGCTCGGCTCGCCTTGTTTCATACACAAGCCGCAAAAAATTTGTTCTCCCCACGGCAGATAGGATTGCCTCATGGCGGATGGCGGCAGTTTGAATGTGGCAGGTGGAATTGGGGATGGTATGTGGCGGCTTTCGTTAGAGGCAAGAGAGGGGTGCTAGGATAGGTGAATATAAGGACTAAATGGTGTAGATCCTTTGCCGATTGACTAACTAACGTAATTTGAAGGGAGAGGCGAGCGGTGATGAACGGAAAGGATGAAGAAGTGTGCACCTGGGGCTTCCTTTTTTATGAAACTGATGCTTAGGTAAAGCTGTTCCAGAAAAACCCGTTATTAGGCTTCTTTGTTTATGAAATTGATGCTTAGGTAAAGTTGTTCTACAAAAAGCTCTGCTTATGAAACTGATGCTTAGGTAAAGTTATTCCACAAAAAGCTCTATTTATGAAACTGATGCTTAGGTAAAGCTAAGAGCGAATAAGTTTCATGAAATGGGCAAAAACAGGGTAGAATGGATGCCTGGGGATGAAATCAGCCTTTGCTCCTGTGAGATTTTGAAGACA